GAGACTCACTGAACCTCTGGCCACTGTACTTGATCATCTCCGGTAGGATGCCTGACTCACCGGCCGCCTTTCCATTGCGTAGTTTGCTTATAGCTCGCTGTAGCTCCTCAGCAGTTGGCAGGTCATCGAGCTCTGGGACTGGATCCCTGGCCTCTAGCTGATCAATCTCCTCTGGGTCAAACACGGACGCGACATTAAGTATGTTGGCAAAGTGCCGTCGCCACTGCGTACCCTGCTCTGCTCGAGACTTGCATATGTTGTTGTTCAGATCACGTATAGGCACAGTTGCCTTACTGCGCAAGCCTTGCCGTGCGGCCTGCATATCGTGAATACAAGACCATACGTGGGCTGAGCTGAAACGTGACTGTTCCAACTCCGCTGCCTTGGCCACGAACCAGTCATTTTTCGCCCTTCGCACAGCGGCGCGGGCCTCTCCTCGAGCCCTCCGGAATTCTACCAGTACTGGATTGTTGGACTGGCCAGTCTTGATCCATCGGGAGTACAACTCGTTCCGTCTGGTAAGTAGAGGTTGGATGATTTCCCGGCTGTCCACGTACCAGTCTGGTTGCCTGCGTTTGCTACGGCCGAGGACATCCCCTGCCGCTTCAGTAAGCGTGTCACGGAGAACATGCCAATGCTCCCCAGTAGTGGTGATGGGTGATGATAACTTCCCATTCAATACTGTCTCCGTCTTGGTCTGATATTCCCGGATCAACTCGCAGTCTACGTTTCTTCCCCGAGCCAGTGTATCACGGAACTTGGAGACATCAAACCTCGGCACTCCATGTTTAGTTGGTCTACGGTGCCTTTGAATAAAACCGATCCGGTAGCGCATGGCGACCATTGCGTGGTCCGTACCACACTCAGCACTGTGTATAACCTGTGAGTCCAAACATCGTTGCCAGTGATTTCTTGGAATAATGACGTAGTCAATGCAATGCTGTGTTTTGGTGCGGGGGTGTTGCCAAGTCCATCGTGTGTCGTATTCTTTCTGGAACCAAGTATTACAAATCATTGCCTCATTTGTGAGCAAGAAACTCATCAGCTCCTGTCCAGAAGAATTTGCCACTCCATGTCCAAACGGGCCACGCACGTAACTCCAGTCATCGTCAGCATGTAAACGTGTACCCACACGCGCGTTGAAATCTCCCAGTAGGATGTACTGTTCAGTTGCTGGGACGCCAGTGATAGCTTGTTGAAGGGCGCCATAGAAGGACTCCTTCAGGGTCTTCGAGCTACTGAAAGTTGGAGCATACGCACTCATCACGGTCACCCAGACGCTGTCACCGTCCTGGAGAGTAAATAGTAGTCGAGCTGACACCAAACGTGATCCGTGGGCTGTCCATTGACAGCCGCCAGCACGCCACGCTTCGATCGCGTCGCCGTTCAAAACAATACAAACACCTTCGCCACGACGGAAAGAAATTTCGCCAGCATTATTGTCATCGCGAGGGACTGGTCGTCCTGAGGCCAGCACAACAGCTCCCTCGACTGGATATACACCCTCGCCAAACCAGTGAGTCTCCTGTAGGCCAGCGACATCAACTCTCAAACGTAATAATTGCTGTTGACAAATTTGAATTTTCTTGTCCTCCACAACACGATGGGAAACAGCTCCAGTCTCGACAGGGCCGTCGCTCTCCACCAAGGAGCGGACATTCCAGGACACAATGCTCAACCTCTTCTCTCCTCCTCTCCGGTTTCTACGTGCCAACATTTTTCCCGTTCGTCGTTTGGCAAGAACTGACGGCGGCTTCTACGACGAGAACAGTGTGGAGTGACGGCATCAAACGCACGTCCTGAAGCCCACACTGTTATACCTCGACGTAGGGGACTAGGGAAACTTCCTAGGGCGGCCTTTGGGCCGCCCTAGGGCTGGTATAAACTCTTTGGAGATTCAGAAACAGGAGCTCAAAAAATTCAAACTGTCTTCCACTGGAAGACAGCACACACACATACACAGCACGTACACACACACATACTTTAGTACAGTGCACACACGTACACACACACATACTTAGTACAGTGCACACACGTACACACACACATACTTTAGTACAGTGCACACACGTACACACACACATACTTTAGTACAGTGCACACACGTACACATAAACATACTTTAGTACAGTGCACACACGTACACACACACATACTTTAGTACAGTGCACACACGTACACACACACATACTTTAGTACAGTGCACACACGTACACACACACATACTTTAGTACAGTGCACACACGTACACACACACATACTTTAGTACAGTGCACACACGTACACACACACATACTTTAGGACAGTGCACACACGTACACACACACATACTTTAGTACAGTGCACACACGTACACACACACATACTTTAGTACAGTGCACACACGTACACACACATACTTTAGTACAGTGCACACACGTACACACACACACATACTTTAGTACAGTGCACACACGTACAAACACACACACTTTAGTACAGTGCACACACGTACACACACACATACTTTTGTACAGTGCACACACGTACACACACACATACTTTAGTACAGTGCACACACGTACACACACACATACTTTAGTACAGTGCACACACGTACACACACACATACTTTAGTACAGTGCACACACGTACACACACACATACTTCAGTACAGTGCACACACGTACACAAACACAACAAGATAACGACGGCCGTAGACCCAACAAAATGTACTTAGCGTTCCTTGATGACGTGTAGATGCATGGTCGGTTTTCCAAAAAATAAACGTCACGCGCTGTTACTTGGCTTTAGTGCTTCTCACAGGTGACCACGTGACCACTTATGCTATGGACAGCAGCATCAGGAGCACAGGAAACAGCGACCAGTCACGTCCAGCTGCAGGGAATCGTTCAAGGCGGACTGCGCCCATTACACCGCGGCGGCCAGCCAGCGACCCAATCCCAATACCGGCTAATCCCAAGGGGAAGTAGCCCCCAGACTCCAGGCGGGAGGTGGTGTTTAAGCACATTGATGCTAATCCCAACTTGCCAGTCGAGACTCGCTGGAAGCTTGTACTCAATGCTTAGCTCCGCGCCCACAGGTAACTATCCATGCATTGCAATCTAACGAACGGGTGACGGGTGGTAGGAAAGTGTGTTACCAGGGTGATAGGAAAGTGTGTTACCAGGGCGATGAAAAGTGTGAACGTAGCGGACAATGTACACTGTATATGTAGTCGAATTTTTCTCAACGATGAGATTTCTTTATCGATCCTTTGAAAAATACTCACGTTGAATATGATATTGTATTTTAAAAAAAATGTATTCTTGGACTGGAAATTTGGAGATTCAGTGAAACCTCGTTAAGAAGAACACTGATAACACAAAGTAAAAAAAGTAAAGTTTGCACGTCCGCGTTACCATCGGCTATACAATTGCGTTGAGAAACACAACCAGCTTACGAAGTTTCGCATGTGCCAGGCCACCACCATGCCTGTGCTACCAGGGTGGCAGATGCAGCGCCTAATGCAGTAATGGCGAGGGTGAGGTGGTCAGTCTCACAACCAATGCCCGACAAGGGGGCTAACCTCGTTAGCTGCATCCATGTTACCCTCACTCCGAGTAGTGGGCGGCTCGTCGGCGCAGTTCACTGCATGTAAAGTGGTTCACGCATGCATCACCGCATTTGCTAGCACAGTACACGCTCCCCGCTCCCAGCGCGGGTCTCGAACTCGGGACCTTGTGATTCGCACGCAAGCCTACAACCACTCGGCCAAAGCGCTGGTATTGATAGATGACTAGCAGCACCCCCGGCCAGCGTTGCCTGGCCGAATGTGGCATGCGGGTGAAGCAAGTACATGAACAGCACACGTGCTCAGCACGTGGTGGTGGCCAGACCGCTGAAGTCCTGGTGAGGGAGGTTCTTCATCGTTGGAAGGAGAAGGAGGGACGTCTGTTACGCCTTCGGGAGGCTGGTCAGGGTTGTCCATCACCTGGTGGCGGATGAAGCGGCTCAAAAAATTCATAAACTTACGAACAAAAGTGCGATGCGCTCTTCACTGCAGATCAGATGCAGAGTGCAGTCAGTGCAGATCTTTTGTATCCTTTTGTTGCAGATGTTTCTATTTGCAGAGAACGGTTCACGTGGTCCGCAGCGCTTGTACTAATCGTGCGGCTGCTAGTGCTACCTTAGGCTTAGCTATGGCCTAGGCTAGGTGGCTACATGATTCGCACGCTTCGCGTGCTCAGTGCTTCTGCGCGCGGCTGCTACTGCTACTCGTACTGTTCGTGTCTGCTACCTACACTGTTCGCACGCTTCGCGTGCTCAGCACGTGGTGGTGGCTACACGATTAGCACGCTTCGTGTGCTCAGTCAGTCAGTACTTCTGTGGCTGCTTCCGCTAGCTACACGATTCGCACGCTTCGCGTGCTCAGTGTTTCTGCGGCCGCTAGCTACACTGTCACTGTGCTACACTGTTCGCACGCTTGGCGTGCTCAGGGCAGCGCTGCTCCGCAGCATGGCCTGAGCGTGACACACACACACACGTCACAGGTGCCTCTTCTTTATAAGTAAAGATAAAACAAACGCTCGCTTAAGAAGAACTAGTATTTGTAACTCTATTGGATAAATTACGGTGTATTCACTGGGTATAAGATTATGGATAAGAAGAACTCACGTTATTGCGAACAAATCCCGTCGGTTCTTTGGTGTTCGCCCTAAAGAGGTTTGACTGTATGTTTAGCTGGATGTCAGATCGTCGAATATGGCAGTACATGAAATCAGCCTGGTCGAACCTCGGGCCTGTGAATCCGTACAAGTAAGTTGTGCCCGACCCTGGTGGCATGCAGCCCTCCCCTGCATGTAAGTACACTAATGGCGACTGAACTCCCGACCCCTGAGCTAACAGCTAACCCCTGAGCTAACATCGCAAAGACCTACCACGGGATAGTAAAGCCACGAAATAGAGACCGCTAGAATACGAGTGCACCGTTCAGTGGTAGGATTTCAGTTGCCAGCACCATGCAGTGACCCACGCAACAATCTTCTATTGCATCATTTCTCTGCTGCATGGGCCACGGAATGCCATGGGGTCGTGCTGAGTACAACATAATCATTACACTGACAGTGACAGACACACGGTGCGAAAGCTAGCGGGCACGTAAAGATTTTATAACTAAGTATAAGTATAAGGACTATCAGCTACAATCACGCGAGGCGGGGGACAATAAGATGATTAAACTCTTCTTGGCGCCCTTTGCACGTCAGAGTGCGTCTGGCTTCACAATGTTCATCGAACTGGGCTTCTCCATAGTACTATAATTATAATGCAGTCCAAGACCTCTCCGTACAGCACATATCTATTTTTCCATCGCAGTCTTTGAAGCTCTGCCCGCTGTTGCACGCACGCGCGTAGACATTATTTTGGTCAGAAATATTCTACTATTAGTCGGCTGTCCTATTCTATGTCCATATCGTGTACGAGAAGGTCTTCCAACTACAGGAGAACTGAAGATCAAGTTAGTGGACGTCAGTAACAAGCGTGAGTACGGCTGATGAGACTGTGAACATTTGGACATTAGAGATGTTTTGCAGCGCGACTTACGGGTCAGGCTGGGATTGCTTTCGACGAAGTGGCCTTGTTCGTTTCTTTGTATATTTACTTGAATTAGCAAATTGAAACGAGCAAATGCTCAATGACAAGGCAGCGATTATGTTATGGCCTTGAAGTTGTCAGGTCCGCCTGCAGAGGAAAAATAGGCATCGCTGATGTAGGCTACTCTGAGGAAATGAGCAGGTCTTAGTGATTGAGGGGATGTATCAGTACGGGCTGCCATTTTGGAAACCTGCTTCAAGCAGGCAGGCATGTATTTCCCATCATATTGCCAGGTGTGTATTTACTATCATGCTACTTGTTTTTAATGGAACTGCCTCTTGTACGGGCAAACTCCAAACAATTCATTGAAAACCAGCACGTTCGGGTTGTCGGCCTTCTCCGTGAAAAAAAGCAACCATAAGTACAGCTGCAGTGGAGTTTTCAACTAAATTCTATTACTAGCAGACAAAGCAAAGTGTAGATCTACTGGATCGTGGAAGGTGAAGCACAAAACATTGCACGAGGATAGTTCACCACCGGTCCGCGATCGGGAATAGAGAGTTTACGCGGGAATAGAGAGTTTACGCTCCCCTGTTTTTAAAACAATTTCGACCCTTATATAACACGTGCGTTGAACCACTTGATTGCATTCGAGTGCTTGAGTGCGCCATTACGTGAGGTTTCAGAAGTATTGTCGCACTTTCCTTCACGTAGATCTACGTGTTGCTGGTATTGAGGCCAAGACCATGAGCCTGTCGCATCGGATCGACACCGCTGTTTGTGCAGCCCCGCACAATAGCTGTCCCGTTCGTTCTTTCCAGGTCCTTTCCTTCCGTCAGCACTATCTGCTGTGATCTTCTTTTGTGTTTCTCACAGGCGACCACTTAAACTATGGGCAGCAACACAGGAGACGGCCTACAGTGGCTTCGAGACATTCGTTCAGAGTATGCACGGTTTGGTCCACCCATTCTACCACCGTACCCACTCAGCCGACTCATCCCCGCAGGAACTGATCCAGAAAGGGAGGAGGAAATCCGAAGGGTAGTGCGGGAGAAGATGTTCGATTTCATCGATGCTCATCCTGAACTCAACCTCGAGTTTTGCTATAAGCTTATACTAGGCACCTACAGGTAATGATTGATCCAGCGCAATCTACAGAATGAGCGACGTGGAAGCAAGAGTGTCATCAGTGCTATGAAATGTGTGAACACTGAACGTTTAAGTAGCATCATAATTCCGAACCACGCAAGTTCATAAAACATTGATTGAGAAAAATCCGCCCTGAAATAGTACTAGAAAGAGGATGTATTCTCGATTACGTAATTGTACACCTGGTCAGCAGGATGGTGACGTGGTTGAATTTCACACTGCATGTAATGAGTCAGTTTTGTTTTGTACTTACTTGTCACACGTTCTTACTTAAAATCCACCTGGTTATATTTCTGAGACACTGTACTCATAATTCTAATCCATGTGTTGGTTCTTCTCTTTTTATTCCTTTTCAATTCAATTACGTTTCTTTCTCTCTGTGATGTGCTTACTGATGGTGGTCACTGAAAAGGGCAATAGAAGATGCATGAAAATGTTAAGCCCTGCTTCGCGCGCACAATTGGCTCTTGTGCATACGTAATGTTTTGTTACGGAGGTTAGGTTTCACGTCAAATTGCACTTAACGTCAAAAATTTAAAACACTCCGGTAAAATTTGCCGTGCTTTACGTTGGTTGGTTGGTTGGTATGTTATATTTTACTTCGCCAGAATGAGCAGGCATTGCTGCCTTCTTGCCTGGACAAGTGGATTGTCCATGCTCTCACCAAAACACGAAGAAAAGAAAGAAAGCGCATACATATTATTATAGTAAGAGAGGGCGAAAGAAGTACATGAAAGCTTAGTCACTTCTAGCTACATGTAAGCTTTCGCCATCATTGTTATTGTGTCGTCATCCCGTTTGAAGGTGAACTGTGGAGCGTTCTGTAGCGCCACGCATCTCACAATGCCCTTTACTCGACAATAGTCACCCACACTGAGAGGTCAGATTCGTACTTACAAGAGGTCTCTGGCCTTGGCCTTACCTTAGCCTTGAACTTGAACTTGAAGTAACAGTTAGTTGAGTGCTGGTGGCGCTCGGCCGCATCAGATGTATGTGTAGGATAGATGGTGCATGTCATTCCTGGCCTAAAATGTACATGCTGAATCTAGGTCGAAAAAAATTGTTAAGGGATGCACGTGCCCCTCGTGCCCAATGCGATCGACCCCGCTGCTTACGTTGAGTCTTGGATAGGTGTACTGTTGGTGCAGCCGCGCTTCAAGAAGACTCACGAATAGCACGAATAGAATAGAATGGAGCCAGCATCGCGCGTGCACGCTACGAATTTCCCTCGTGGTTAACTGCTGCCAGACAAGTAAGTAAGTTGAGCAATGTGTGTACGTCTGCCGATGTAGTGTATTGTACTGCTTTCGTTTTACATCGCATGTGCCGCTTGGAGTCGTTCATGATCCAAAGCAGATGCTAGAATGCTGAAACGGTGAAGTAGTAAGGAGCAAGAAAATAAACGGCAACACGACAAGAGAGTATTTCATCCCATTGGTATTCTGTGGTGCTTCACCACTGGGCATTGCAGTCTTACTTCGTGTGTGTGTCTGACGGGGTCGGAGAGGACGGCTGAAGGTTTTCGCGTGCGGGTGAGTCCGCTAGCTACGTTTCGTTTTCAACTTTTCAATCTGCTGTGTTGTCTACCCAAGGGGCCCATTCCTGTCATCGACACAGGCATTAACTCCTTAGCTGCAGGCTTGTAGGTTTGTGCATAAAGATAAAAATGAATTCACGGTTCGCGTTAGACTCCCATCGAAAGGAGCGCCCGCCACCCTTCCAAGAGCAAGGCGCAAATTCTGCTCCTAAAATCGGTGCGAGGAGAGTAAGTGAGACCCACCCAAGTGGTCAAACAGTGAAAATCCCATTCGCTGCATCCATGCTTCTCTCGCATAATCTTTGTCATTATAGGGTCTATGTTTGCTCTTCTGTGCATGAGATGATTGGTTAGAGTAAGGGTTGCGTCTCGCAGGAACTGCAAGGTAGAAATCTGAAGTGAGTGTCAAACAGTCGCTGATTAGAGAACAGTTACACAAATAATGTCTCAGTGGTTAGAGATTTAGAGCATCTGTGACATATGGTGAAGGCGCTCGTTCATTTTCTAGTGGTGAAAGGAGTCAACACTGCAACAATCTCTCCTCCTCCCCTCCTCGTTGCGCTCTCAGCCATGTCAATTGCCATACCCTTTTCAGCATCACCTTCTCTGACGAGCCTTCGGTTGGCGAAGCAGGTGCAATATTATCGATAACAATACATGTACTTGAAGTACGTGTGCCCGTAACCCCATCTTGTTTTCCAAGTATTGGTGTGTGTAATGGCTACTGAGGGTAGCCACGTGTTGGCGGAGAACGCATGGCGGAGAAGAGAAGACATTGTTGCATTTTTTTTTGAAAAGCTGAATGACACCGTTCACAGCTTCGTTGAAAGTCATTATTTCTACTTTTATTCATTGGTTCGAGGGAAAATTGCAAACTGGGAAATTTCTGAAGAAAACAATTGACTCTCACCACCAGGACTCTCACCAGGAACCTACGCTCGAGACCAGCAATTCACTCACCACTGAGCTTGGATGGAGCTGTCATCCCAGCAGACACTGTTCAACTTTTTCTTCAGACTTCGACTCTATTTTTTCATTAACGTTTATCATTTATCCACGATGGTGGGATAGCAGTAGGGAAGATGCAGAAAATTAATGCATAATGGCGAGCACATGTTCCTTCAGAGATGCGTGTCAATTCAGAAGTATAGAAAATATGGCAAACCCGACTGGGAGGACTGGGAGGACCAACTAGAATCCGGCTTCCACTACATGTGCATATAAACAGCAGCACGAGTGGTATCTGTTGCGCATAATTGTAATAATTCACCGACTACTGGTAACCGTTGGTTAGCCACTCTAAGGGTGCTTTCCAAACGCCTCTGGGAAAGGTTCGAGAATTGTGCTAACATCCTCTCCGAACTGCAGTGGTGATAGCAACTTGGAGATTCCTGCGTTTTAACCAATTTAGGGTCAGCGCATGCGAGCTACTGCTAAACGCTACATTATGATCATGAGTGTATGACTTTGCCATTTCGCATATGCACAGAGCGTACTATATTTGTGCGACTGAAGATCACGGCTCCTGAGGTGCTACACATATGCAAAACATCTCCGAATTTTTCGAGACCCATTCCTAAATTATCCCAGTTTCTTCCGCCTTCCAGGAGAGCTTTCATCGAGAAGCTTAAGAAAATATAAGTGCACCTTGTGTCCAACCTGCACTCTCTAGAGCAGCGTATTACTCTTTATTATTAGTAGTATTACTTGCATGTACGCGTTGGAGTCAACCATGTAAGCACGATCCAAAACTTCGCTTATGCTGAACATGATAAACAGGACTATAACAGGGGAAAGAAATTGAGCCAGAACGATGATATAATGATATAATTATCATATACAATGGAGCTCATGGGTATTGAAGATATGTCATTTATGAATATGTCTTTAATTATGTCATTGAATATTGCAGCCTGAGTGATAATAATAGTGCTATTTCCTGAGTCTGACTGTTTCAGGACCTGTCGGAATATCACGATGCACAGATCTTCATACATAGATCTCGCCATGCGGGTCGGTCATGGGCAATGGCTCGCAGGCTCTGCAGAGCGTCTAAGTTCCCGAGCAATCCGGCATTGGCTTGGCGCAGATCTCCCACCAATGCCTGCGGCAGGGTCGTCCGCGGTCTACCCCTCCAGCATTTCTGTTGCTGATTGGCGAAGTACGCGAACATAGCCATAACAGCTGGAGATTCATCTGCCATCCGCAGGATGTGGCCAAACAGCCTCCAGCGTGATCTCTTGACCATGACACTCAAGGGTTCAGCTTCGCATCTCGTATAGAGAGCATCATTCGGTATTATTTGTGGCCATTTCACACCGATGAGTGACCTTAGCTGACGGCGGTGGAAGGATCCAGGCGAGACAGAACGGTCACACTGACCCCCCACGTACCCGGGTTGTACGTCAGTACTGGAATAATAAAAGTGTTCTACAGCCGCAGACGCAACTTCTCGCTGATGTGCTGATGCCTCTTCCAGAGGCTCCATAGGGACTGAAATGCTGCAGTCGCCAGCTGTTTTCGTCGCATAATATCCTCTTCGTCGCCCAGCAGCGAACCCAGCTTGCGCGTTGTCCTCCACTCTTCATCGATCCTGTCCGCACTTATGAAGATGTCCGTATACTCAGTTTTGTCCCGGTTCATGATCAGGGACCACTGTGGTAGCACCGTGCTGGCAGTCGCCTCCACGTCCGCCAGCCAGGACTTTGAGGTGCTGACAAAGTCTGCATCATCCGCATATACAAGTTCGAGCGGCAGACCGTTGTCGCTGAGAGGTCTTGCTGGCACCTCTTGCCTTAGTTGTCGGAGCGCAGCCTCCAAGTAAATCGTGAAGAGAACGGGGGAAAGGCAATCCCCCTGTGGCGTCCCCTTCGTTGTAGCAAATGATTCCGACTGGCACCTCCCAAGTCGAACACGAAGTCTGGTGTTAGAGATCAAGACCCTGATCAAGCGAACGTCATCGTCACTCAGAAACGCCTCCAGAACAGTCAGCAAGGTGTCTCGCTTGATCGTGTCAAAAGCCCTCGACAGATCAATGCCCAGCAGGTGAACGGTGCTGTGGTAGCGCTGGGTCTTTGCCACAAGCCATCGATGCGCCCATACCACATCCGCGGTTAACTCTTTAACTCCTTGTATTTAGGCAGAAATACACAAAAGACTAAGACTAAGACTTTCTCGACGGAATATGCTCAAGACGCAAGAGGGACAATCTAGATAAAACGGTTGAGTCGGCGGACGATGTTGAGCTTGGAAGACAATTGAAGTCGATTGTGTCATTTACACCTCTGCTGTGCTAGTGGTGGCGAAGGCACTCATCCAGTGAACCTGCAGTGATCCTACTGAGTCTGTATAAGCATTACTATCTCTGATGATTCGTTTTATGTAATTGTGTTGATTCTTCACAAAATGTGTTATTTTGTCCGTACAAGAGGCTCAAGGAGTTCATTCCTAAAACAAATTGTGTCATGTATTGTCCACACACACAAATCTTCCCATATTAGAGACAATGTACATACGTATCCAAAAGCAAGACTTATGGCAGCAGTAAGAATGTTTAACTACCAGGTACACTCTCACTCTTTCCATGATACCACACGCACGCGCACACACAAGAGAAGGCTGATGAACACCATCAGCCTTGCAATGTGGTGAATGGTGTAGTCCCAGCACAATTTGCCATGTCCTGCAAAGCTTGTTCGTTATTATCGCTACAATGAAGAACGTGTGTATAATTTAAGTGTGTGCGTGCGTACGCGCGCATATGTGTGTATGCGTGTGTGTCTGTATGTGTCTGTGTGTGTGCCGCGTGCGTGTGGTATCAGGGAAAACGTGAGAGTATAGATGAACCTATACACAAACTCACGCATATTCACACACACACACACACACACACACACACACACACAGATGCACGCACTAGCAACGCACTTTGTATACACATTCATGTTCATTATGCCGCTCGCTCTGAATTTCCAGCCATAGTTATATTGCTTTTTTGCTGGGGTTTCTGGTGTTGTTTCTTTTACCCATG